CCTGCTGAAGATTATCCAAAAATGACTGGAACAGCACATCAACAGAGAACTACCAGAAGTGCAGGCTGGATTTAGAAGAGGCCGTGGCACAAGGGCTATTACAACCAATGTTAGATGGATCTTGGCTGAAAGCAGAGAGCACCAGAGGAATGTCTATCTGTGTTTCATTGACTAACAAAGGCATTCGATTGTGTGGGTCACAACAAATTGTGGCTAACTCTGAGAAGAATAGGATCCCCAGAACATTTGATTGTGCTTATGTGAAAATCAGAAAAGGTGTATTCCAGGGATGCATCCCATCTCCATACATTTTCTATCTATATTCAGAACAGATCATCCAGGTATGAGGAAGAATGTGGCATCAAGTAGGAGGAAGACTCATCAACAACCTCCGTTATGCAGATGACACAACCTTGCTTGCTGAAACTGAGGAGGACTTGAAGCGCTTGCTACAGAAGGTTAAGAACTGCAGCCTTCAATATAGATTGAAACTTAACATCAAGAAAACAAAGATTCTCACCAGTGGGTGAACTAGCAGCATCATGATGGATGGTGAAGAGATTAAGACTGTTAAATTCTATTTGCTTGGCTCCACAATCAACACTTTGGTACCAGCAGCCAAGAAATCAAAACACCAATTGTACTGGGAAAATCTGCTGTCAAGGACCCCTCCAGAGTACTGAAGAGCAATAATATCAGTCTAGAGATTAAGGTGTGCCTGACTCAAACCAAGGTCTTCACAATTACTATATATCAGACAGCTGGATAATGACTATGGATGACAGAGGAAGGATTGATGCCTTTAAGTTGTGGTGCTGGAGAAGAAAACAAACAGGTCTGTCTTGGAGAGGATGAAACCAGGTTGCTCCTTGAAGGATTCTAAAGCTTCATCTAACATACATTTGGCCTGCTGCCAGGAGAGGCCAGTCATTGGAGAGGGACATCATGCTTGGAAGGGTAGAGGGACAGCACAAGAGAGGAAGACCCTGGATGAGATGGATTGACTCAGTGCCTGGGGCATGGGGGCAGGTATATGAGAGACAATGAAACTGGCTCAAGTTAGAGCAGGGTTGAGAGCTGTTGGACACAGGGTCACTATGAGTAGTAAGTGACTTGAGGACACATACCAACAAACAACAACTCATCTGCTTACAATCCGAAGGCCTATGGTTCAAATCCACCAGCTGTTCTGCAGGAGAGAAATGGACAATCTCCTTCCATGAGATTTCACACCTCTGAAAAATCTCCTTCCATGAGATTTCACACCTCTGAAAACTCACTGCAGGGTCAGGTCTGAGTCAGTTGCGACAACTACCACCATAACTAAGAACATTTACTGAACGCCGACCAAGGGTCCTTAGTAATGTATTCTTAGGGTTACAACAACTTTGTAAATGGTGTCCTGTCACTCCCTCTCACAAATAAACAAGGCCCTGAAAGGTTATAAGCAGCCCCTGGCTGAGATGTTCCTAGTAAGTAAGAGAGTGAGGCTGATGTGAAGTATGTGTGAGGTCAAGGTCAAAAGAGCATTATAAGAAAACCTCCCTCGCAACAGAGAGCCAAATCTCAGAAAGAGGAAACCGATGACTGGTCACTAGTCAGGAGCAATGCAGGGACCAAGAGTCAGAGGACAAACGGGTCACTGTGAAAGTGGAGGGGAGAAGACAAGAGAGTGAACATGTCCATGACCTTTTCTTCCATTTACTCCAATTCTCTGTCATGTTCTCCAACCTGATGCAGAAACCAAGTTGTCAATTATTCCAGTCTCTATGGCTGTGCTTTCCTTCAAGCCTTCTTTGAGCACTGTTAGTCCAACAGCAAACACTGTTTTACTGATCGACTTATCCCTTCCCAGTGTTGTTACCGGGCCTGAAATATGGCCTTGTCCTCCGATCTGTTATCTGTACTGAAGGGCAATTATTCAAGAGAATAAAACCAAGCCTCCACATCCAATAAATCACATTATGCCTTACATACCAACATTTTTTTAAAAGTCTGACTTAACCACAGTGCCTGTCAAAGCAGGAAGACGCATATGCTGAGCTCTAATGAGCTCTGCCAAATTTGACATTATCATCAAGGTTGGTTGTGATCTCAGAGATCACACAGTCTTCTAAAATGGTGTATGTTAGCAGTATTTCTTGAGTTGCCTTGTAGTTAATATTCTAAGCAAATGGCACAGAAAAAGCAAGTATTAGAAGATGTATGCATTATAACCATATCTTCCAAACTACTGCAAATGCTAAGGATCAAGGAGATGATTACTCTGTGCTGTAGCATCTGATGACATCAAGAGGTAGAAATGTGAGTATGTATGCAGTGCGTCCCAAAAATTCTAAATATTTCTGCATTAAAACCTTACCTGTAATCCTCCCTAGTCAATAAAAACGTCAACATTTCAAGTGGAAAAACATCATTATAATTGGGGCAAAAAAAAAAAGGTGAAAATCATAAAGGTGTAAGGGCATCATTTTCACACTCATCTGTAAGACATAAATATCCTCAATAGTTTACAGGTTCAATTTCAAACACAATATGTTTGTAGGAATAAAATAATTGAAATAATAATAACTATTAAAAATAATTAACCCTTCAGAATCCCATATACTAAGGATACATACAAATGGGGTCTATACAATGCTGCCATCTGAAAAAGTATCTACACACATAAAACAATTGCACAGACACAGTCATTCTGCAGATTACATTCCACAAGGATGATTGGTTAGTTTTCTAATCTGTTTGACTTTATTTCTTCCCAACATTAGAAGACACAGAGGGATATTAAAGAATGCTGTTCAGCTCACATATACTCGGGCGCAAGCAGTATCATGGTGAATCTGGTATCAAGAGCCCTCTCTCAGAAGGTACGCTTCCTACAATGGCATTATTTAGCATAAAGACATAACTACCTTAGCAAATAGATCAGAAGCTAAAACCATCTTTTCTCCTACTAACTGAGATTTCCTAGGAACCCAGTTACACAAACAACTTCCTTCACCTTTTCAGAGCTGAAGAGTTCCTCAGTCACTCAGGTCAGCCGTTTCCAAAACCCCCACTGGTCCTGTCAAAACAACGGGCTTACTGCAACTCCACCCTTTTCTCACCTTCATTTTGAACAGGACTTCCCCCCTCCTCTCTATTAAAGAAAGGACTGGGATTAGCATTTCAAATTTTCAGAGTAATCCCATGAACTGCCATAGTAATATTATTTAACCCCAGGGAATTTTCTGTTTAATTGCCACTGCCTCCCTTCCCCCAAAGGATCAGGTCTTATTTTGAGGTTGTAAGGGAGAGCATTGCGTTAAGACAGAGCACAAACAGAATGGGCTTAAATTTTTAAACATCTAACCTTTCCACAAGTCACTGTTAATCATTTGCACCTGAGGGACTTTAATATGCAGCATGGCAATTAAAAAGGCACTGTCTCCAGGACGACCCCAGGATGCTCCCATCACAACCTCTTACTCTAAGGAGGGAAATAAAAGCCATTTCATCCTGTGTGATAAGAACAACGTTCCACCTGTCAGTTTCAATAATAAGGAGAAGAGCAGAGCTCTCAGAACTTAAGACATTCATTTTCTCCTAACAGGCTTTTCACATACATTCTACTGTATTTTAAGATACTAAGTTTTGAACTTATCTAACCATTTTTCACCTTTAACTCTTTTGAAAGGAAAATGACAAAAGGCTTCGGGAGGAGGGGGAACAGAGTTCATCTTTTAAACCCCTCTTCCCTCTGAGAAATGAAGCCCACCAATGCTACATCACAAAACCACTTCTTTTCCTTGTCAAAGGCAAACTTAGAGCAAGTTAGGGAGGCTCACAGACCATGCCTCTCAGCTGTGCACCCACAGAGTCTTGTCAAGGAGAGCTGAGACTCTCACAAGCATGGAAATTTTGAAAGCCAAAGGCTGTCCAGGATTCCCTGGGAAGACCATGTGGACCACGCCTTGGTTTGGTCACAGAAGAATGTGAGGAAGGGAAATCTGTCTGGAACCAAAGCGAGATGACAATAAGAATCATCAAAGTAAGACCTCTACAGTTCCACCAGGAGGATCCCTAAAATCAGAGCTCATCCAATTGTATCCTTTTATCAGTCACCAGATGTTGGTCATTCTGCAGCCTGCCTGAGAGGATTTCTGTCGTCTGGTAACCTGCCAGCCTATAATATTCTTGTGAAAAGATGGCACAGCGGCTGAAGTGTGCAGTCGCTAGCGGAAAAGTCAGGAGTTCAAACTCAAGCCATGGAACCAACCACCCTGCTGGTGAAAGGCGTGGCAGTCTGTTGGCTAAAGATCTCCCCTCATGTAAACCCTATGAGGAAGTGACACTATGTCCTACAGAACCACTAGGAGTCAGAACAGACTACAAGCAATTGGTCTGGAGATTTTGTAGAAGGGCTCAGAGTAGAAATATTCTTTTTGACATTAAAACTTACCAAATGAATTGTTACGGAATATTAAAACATTCAAGAAACGCCCTACCCACTAAAAAAAAAAAAAGTCCCGGTTTCCAAAGCATTTGGAAGCAATTATTTCCTTTGGGGTTTTCTTTTTAAAATAATCCTGTTAAGTAAGAAACCAACGGAGAAGCATCCCAAAGAGGCTGCCCAGAGCTCGGGATACTTTCTTGGTCCTGGATTTACTTGGGGAGGGAAGAGAGAAGTGTTTGACAGTTCCCCAGGATCCTTCCACTTGTAGCAGCAATGAATGCCAAATAAAAAGCATCAGGTCATGCAACTCCTTAGAGATTCCAAAGCCTGCCTTCTGGATGAATAGAGACACGTCTTCCCTCCCACCTGCACCCCCCCCCCCCAATTCTGTCTGTGCCCTAGCTTCCAAATCAGCTGCCCTGCTGTGATTCCACGCAGTTCACCAGAGAATCCCTGGCTCCACAGGGCTCGCGGATCTGACCCTGGGAAAGCCTCGCTCCCCTCCCCCCTGAATCCCAGCCTCCACACCCAGCCCCTCTCCACTGCCCCGTGCCGCCCACCTTACCTGATAATGTCGTCGTTGTGTCCCAAGAAGAATTTCTGGCTGTGCTCGCGGGTGTTGTACACCACGCCGACCCCGGCCACGAAGTAGACCACCTCCTTGCCGGCTGTGTAGTACAGGTTGTTGCGGCACTGGTGACCCCGGTACCCGTACACCCACTCCAGCCGGAGCTGGCAGCGGGGAGCTGTCCGATCCGCCATGATAAGCCGACCCCACTGGCCCCCTGGCCGGACCTCGGGGTGTGGGTCCGCCGGCCCTGCGCGCCCGCTCTGTCCTCGCCAAGCCTCGCGCTGCGAAGGACCTGCAGGGGGCTCAGCGCGCAGCGCCGGGCGCCGGTCTCCGCGGCGACGCACAGGCACAGCCCCGCGCGCCCGCCACTGCCACCATCATCCACCGCCGCCGCCGGAGACGAGCTGCTGCTCCCGCCGCCAGACCCCACCGGGCGCCCGGCTCCCTCTCGGCGGGCTAGGTGGCTCGGGGGCGCCGGCCCCCTGCGCGAGAACGCGCGCGCGCTCGCCTCACTGCACCTGCGGGCTCCGGTCCCCGGGAGAGGTTGGTGGGGGGGCCACCCCGCCTCGGGAAGCAGCGATGTGCATATCCAAACGCAGATCTGCCCGCTGAGCGCCAGTCCAAGTTTGCAGGGCACGGGAGAGAGGCTTTCACAGCACGCAGAGGCTGAGATTTATTCGGTGACAGCTTTGCTGTAACAGGGAAGCCAGGCGAGCTTGGCCATCACTGTCCTTGGATGCGAGATGGACCGTCTACAGCCAGGATGCGGGAGAGAGAAAGAAAGAAATGCATTTTCGTGTAAGTCATTCATTCAGTCCAAGATGATGATGCTCAAACTAAACCAAGTTTTTAACAATGTCAACTACGCCCCCTTCCTCCATCTCCACTCCTAGGAGAGGACATGAGCCCGAAATGCTGCTGGCTGGTGGCTGCTGATAGGATTTGAAAGAACATTTTGTTTTTCCCACAAACTCCAAGTGAATGTGCAAAGGTCACTCCCCAACCCTAGATGTACCTCATCAGCCTGTACGGGCAGCTGCTGCTGCTGTTTTTATTTGTGGAATCTCTCTGCACCTTACAGAACTTCACCTCTCTTTTTAAGCAACTAATCGCATCCTAAAAGCTTTTCTGAATCGGAGGAAACGAGGCACTCCTTGCTTTTGGAGGAAGGAGAGTGTCCTGGTCTGGAGGGAATGCATTAACAAGTGGCCAAAATCGCACACCATTCCCTGGAGGGACTGCGCTAGCGAGGGGACCACGAGGGCTTGCTGTCTGGCCTGTCTCTACTCCGGGATCAGTCGGGGGACCTGGGAGGATAGCGAGCCCCCCACTGCCCAGGCACCGGTTAGTTGGGTGCGACGCACGGGCCCGCGCGCACGCACTGCGCCCACTGCGCCCCGCGCAGATGCTGCCATCCCGCCCGCCTCTAACCTCAGCTTGGAGCGGGCGCTGAGGGCGCGCCAATCCCGCACCAGCGGGCGGAATCCCCTCCCCGCCTCCCGCACCAGAGGATGCACTTCGTCACTGGAGTGTCCCCGGGGAGACGGCGGCTTCTGCCACCAGCCAGGGCTCTGGGGGCGGGGCTACCGCACTGCTTGCGGGAACCGGTTACCAGGCGAGACCAAGGAGCTTGGAAACGGCGACGCCCCGGATCGCTGGGGCCGCCCTCTCGGCCTCCCCGCCCCCAGAGCCGCTTTCGCAGGTGCATCCTGGGAACTGTAGTCGTCTGCGCGCCAATATGTCCGAGGGGATGCCGAAGCTGGACTACAATTCCCACAATTCCGTGTGCTCACAAGGGCCATAGAGCCGCCGTTAAAGGTGTAGGTGGTGTTTAAGGGTCTTTGGGTGAGACAGGATGCTCACCCAGGGTGACCGCTTGCCCAAGCTGGACGCACAAGTAACCAAGGCCAGCGGCCAGCATGCTTCTGTCCCTATGGGGACAAGCAGTGAGGCAACCGCCCAACTTGAAAATAATGACTGTATCAGCCCTCTCAGGAGTACTGTCATTTACCTTTTCACTTGCACTATTCAAATTCCTATTTCCTATTTCAGTTTTCCTTTTTTAATTCTGACAGATTCTAAAGCGTTAAAGTACACTAATGATAAGTTTAAGAAAATGTACTTATCTTCTCAGCAACCTGATTGCCTCAACCCCATCCACCAGGAAAATCGACCTCTAACCAACCATGTTCTGCCTCCTGAAATTAGGGGGCTTCAATATTTAAAGATACCAGATTTTAGAAGTGGGAAGCAACTTGAGAGGCAGGAATAACTAATTATTGCCCTCAAAACTGGTGGCGTTTCTTTTTGCATCGCCTCAAGTGAACTATGAATCCCAGTGTGTTCTGAAGTAGCCTATTTTCAAATTGGGGCCACAGATGGCCTTTAGTGAGAGATTTCAAAATCCCAATGACTAAGAGGATGATAGATTGAGTGTTCAGAACATAGTTTTTCCTTTCCACCCACTCTATGGAATTGCTTATTCAATTCTTCAACTACTGCCCACCAACCTGGTAGGAAAGCTTCAAGAAAGAGACTAGAAATTCAGAATTTGAGCAAGTCTTCTAGCCAGAATGATAAAGAGGAAGTGAATGAATTAGTCTCATCTTTCTTTTAAAGGAAACGGGATGCTACAAATATGTGAGGTGGTACTATGAAAATGAAAAGTAAAACTTGGCCTAAAAAAAGGCATGAAGCATAATAAGCAAAATATACAGTGCCATACCATAAAATAGGGTCTAATAAATTCTAGACAGACATTAAAACCTACACAGAAAAAAAAAGCTAATGGATCACAATGGTCCAATCCCATCTGGGGTTGGGGTGGTACAAAACAAAAACCTACACAGGAATCAAGAAGAAACACTTTCCCAAAGCTATGTCATGAAAGGCTTTATGGAAGAAATAGAAAAGATAGAGCGTTCTAGATGATTCTATGGAATACACAAAAGGGAAGGTGCAGAAAAACACTTAGAAATCACTAAACAGAATTGCCATATTTGAGTCAAAACAGAACTCATGCAGGATAATGGGAAATAAGGAGAATAGATTAGATTCTAGGTACAGCTGAACGTAGATATTTGGACTACATGCTTAAAGTGAAGAAAATCTATAGATTGGGTTTGTTGGTTTTTTTGTGTGTGGGTTTTTTTTTTATTTTTTGTTTTTCGTTTTAATTTTTATTAAGGCAGGGTGGGAGAAGAGGAAGACCCACAATGAGACGGACTGGGAAAAGTGACTACAACAGTGGATTTGAACATGATGTTGTTAAGTGCCGTCGAGTCACTTGCGACTCATAGCGACCCTATTTACAACAGCCCTAAACTCGGCTCTGTCCTGTGCCAACAGCACTGTCTCTGACACTCCCATCCCGATTATCCCAGTCACTGAATCAATCCACCTCATAGAGGGCCTTCCCTTCCTGCGCTGTCCCTCCACCCTCCCAAGCATGATGCTTCCTCCATGAGCTGAACATAGCAATTCCACATGACCCAGCTATTTCAATGCTAGGAATATACCGCAAGGGAAATAGAATGACGACATATACACCTATGTTCATTGCAGCATTATTCACAATAGCAAGAAAACAGTAACAGCCCAAATGCCCACTAACAAATGAATAGATGGAAGGGAGCTCTGGTGCCCTACTGGCAAGAAGCTGCGCTGCAATCCCAGAGGTGTGCAGTTCGAATCCACCAGCAGCTCTGCTGGACAAGTAGGGACAATCTCCTCCTGTACCAGTTAGATCTGATTTGATGGTACACAAACAACAAAAAAATAAAATTTTTTTAAAAGTATGATAACAAATGAATAGAGACACTGTGGTACAGTCACTCAATGGAATACTATTCAGCACTAAAAACGACGATTTCATAAACTACTAAATAAATGGGAAGGTCTAAAGAGCATTACTCTGAGTGAAATAATGCCATTCTCATAAGAATAAATACAGCCTGAGACCATTATTGCAAAAACATAAGGGTAACTGAGCAAGATGTGTATAAATGTTTAAAGGGGAAGGGGGAAAGAGAAGGGTAGGTTGGTGTGTGGATGGGAAAGTGAAGGAATAGAAAAAGATTCAATGGGGATTTGTAAAGTCAGGTAATAGGAATAGATCAATCATAATCATAGAAAATATAATATATATGAATGATTATGTAAAATCCCATGTTAGTGCCTTAAAGTCAACTTAAATTCATCTATGAATTATTTTATGCAAACCAATAAAATATTAGGGGAAAAAAACCCCCCAAGAGTTGTTGTGAGTTGTAGTCACTTCAAATAACACTCCACCACCTGGACATGCATTATTGTTGTTGTTGTTGTCAGGTGCCATTGAGTTAACTACAACTCAAAGCAGTCCTATGAACAACAGGTCTGAACCTTACCATGCATCATGCCCCAGTTCGCTGTTGTAGTCACTCGGTCCATCCATCCTGTTGAGGGTCCCTCTTTTGTTTTCTGATTCTCTACCTTTCCCAGTAAGAGGCCTTTTGTCTTTACGTGTTTCATCTCATTTTTTTTTCAACTCGCAGTTTTCCTTGATGCATATTTTGTACACATCATGTTCCAATTCTTAATGGATGCCCACAGCTACTTCTCCTCATGCTAAGTCTTGCCACATCTTCAGATGAAAACCCTTCATTGTGTGAAAGCTTGCCTCCAACTGCACCACTGTTGTTGTTGTTATGTGCTGTCGAGTCACTTGTGACTCATAGTGACCCTATGCCCTGCTCTGTCCTGTGTCAACCTCTGACATACCTATTCCCATTACTCTGATCACTGAATAAATCCATCTCATCGAGGGTCTTCGTCTCCTGAGCTGTCCCTCCACTCTCCCAAAAATGATGTCCCTCTCCAAGGACTGGTCACTCCTTGCAACATGTCCAAAGTATGTCAGATGAAGCTTCAGCATCCTTGCCTCCAAGGAGCAGCCAGATTTCACCCTCTCCAGGACAAAACTGTTTGTTCTCCTGGCAGTCCATGTTATATTCAACACTCTTCTCCAGCACCACAGCTCAAAGGCATCAATTCTCTATCATCCCTAGTCACTGTCCAACTCTCCGATGCATAGCCCGCAATTGCAAAGACTGTAGCCTGGATCAAGCGTACCTTAGTCTCCAGGCTAATGTCATTGCTCTTCAGTACTCTTGAGAGTTCCCTCAAAGCTGACTCTCCCAATACAATTAGT